TTTCTTCATTGAAAGTCATCCTCCACTGTTTGTAGATACTGTCAAACAGCCGGTTTTACTAACTTGTCCTCATTTAATTAATGGGTTGCTTTGGTCTTGAGCAGATTCAGCCTATACTCTTAAAACCAACTGATACTCCTCACCTTGTAAAGAACTGGTTATATATATGTATGTATATATATATATACACACATACACATACGTATGTACACACATTTATGTACTAAGATGCTCTGTTGGGTGAATAACAAGGCATAAGCCATGGGCATCCTTCTGTATATACACAACTGAGGCTGGCAGAACTCCTTCTTTTGCAAGAATCGAACAGTAAAAATGCACATTTCAACAAATGACTTTGCAGAATGAATAGAAACAGTGACATCGCTAGGACTGTTTGGTGAGAGGGGCTTCTGTGCTGTCCCTAGGGTGTTAAGTCAGCCCCTTGGAGTAAAGCATATTCATACTGCAGAGCCTGCACATGCCGGGCATTTCGGAGGGTGCATGCAGGGCATCTCCCTCGTGTCTCTACTGGAGGTGGTGTGGTCCAAGAAGGACTGCTTTTGGGGCTGACTACATAACTGCTAACAGGCCATTTTGAACACCACTTGGAGCCCAAAGTGCCAATCTTCCAAAACACTGCACCCTGGAAGTGCTCCATGCAGCCTGGGGGGGCCTCCTCAGGGGGAGTGGGGGGTCCCCGTCATGCATGCTCTGCAGGTCTTTCTAGGATCAACTATCCGGGACCCACCCTGTGTCAACAGGCCATGCTGTCAGAAACACGCTCCATGCAGGCAGAACCAGTACTGCAGAGTAGATATGGGGGATGGGGGTGGGGGTGGCTGTGGATGAAGGGATGAAATTGAGCGCCCCCTTTCTGCCCTGGAGAGCCACACCAGAATGGGGGTGGGGGGGGCAGTGCCGAATAGAAAACAGTTTATAGTCAGGACTGAATGGGGAGGTGGTGCCCAGGGGTCTCCAGAGAGCCACCACTTTAAGGCTTTTTGGAAGGGGGTACCTTCTTTCTGGTGGCAGGACTGCCAGCCACCTCTGGGCCTTTCCACGGTGTGTCTGCCCTCAGGTGACAGCAGAGCCAGAGTCTAGCCAGAGCAGAGGCCGCCTCAGCAGCCCAGGGGGTGATGCCACAGCGGCTGAAGTCCGGCAAGGCAGGGCTCACTCAGCCATGGAAACGCATTGTCGTCTTATTTGTCAGAAGCATTGAAAGAAAGAAAAGGAAAAATTAAAAAAAGAAAACAAAACAAAACCCTGGAGGAACTTATTTTGTTAAGTCCACACCACAGTGAGGAGAAAGGAATTGTGTCATAAAGAAAGAAACCCCAAACGTGCAATAGATGCCTTCAGCTTTTACTCCAGGTCTCGTAAGTAAACATGAAAGACTCACAGAAATGGAACTTAGCACACACATGGGTTTGGCAAAGCCTTTTTTTCCCCTCGCACAAATTTCCCCCCACTGATGAGTACAGCCCTTTTTTTCCTTAAATCACATGAAATATATTTTGATAGGTTAACTTTATTTTTGCAAAGTAGAGTGGTTTGCAAAATAAGCTTGTGGATGCTAAGGGAGAGGGTGAGAACCATGTGCATTGGGGGTGTGGAGAAACCTTTTATCTCACGTCACCAAATTCCTGATGGTAAGCTACTAGAACTAATGAATCATTTTGGAAAATATTAAATTTTTAAAGTAACAGATCCAAACTTTTCAGAACTCCGCTTGAGCCACTGGGTGGTAACAGGTAAGAGAAAGTCTGCAGTAACTTGGTGAGTATAAAGTATTCATTTAAGAGGAAAGGTGCAGTACCAAAATCCATGGACAGAACAAAAATATCAAGCTTCTAATAAAAAAAGAAAAGACATTTACATATTCCCACTTTCAGAGGGGATGTGAGCAAATAGCAAAAAGCACTTAAACCCAAGAGCCCACAGTGTGGAGCCCCTTCCCCCCTACAGTTACCCGTCCAAGGGGACAACCCTGTGACAATATAAGGGCACAAAATATTGCTCTGTGGCATATTCTGAAAATAATATAAAAATAATTTCTATGGTACAGTTTAAACCTGGCTTGTAAAATTTCAACATAACATAGCATAAAATCTACAAACAGAATACACTTAAAAACACCTTCCTTTAACAATACATTATTTAAAAAAAAATCATATACCCAGGTAGCGCATGTGCGGGAAATGTGAAGTAAATTACTGAAACAACCTCCACTGGGGTTCAGAAGTATCTAGGATCCCTCTGGAAACTTGCGGTCGCTTAGAGACATCTGACCTTCCCGGAAAGGGAAGTTTGGCCAGATCAGACAAGAAGGCCACTCATAGGGAGGGTCTGCCATGTACTCCTAGTCCAGGACGTACGCTCAGGTGGGGCTCTCAGCCTTTCCAGAATCCGGACTGGTTTTCTTCCTTTTCTCCAGTGCCTACAAGCCACTTAACCTTTCCCTGATCCACCAGAGGCCCCCAAGTCACAGAAGGATATTAGAGGACCTCTTGGCCCACATGTAAACAACACAGCAGTTTCTAATAGTTACTGTTCAGCCTGACAAACTAATTTGGTTTGAGAGAACTCTGGCCAGGGACCAGGTCTAACAAGCTCTTTTGAACAACATGGAACGTTCCTGGTACACTGGACTAGTAAGTTTAATATAACAGTAGGTTCTCTCACTGTTTCAATACCATTTAGAGGAAGGGATTCATATCTTTCACAAAAGGAAACAGCTATTTGTAAACGATGTGGACAAGCACCCACAGGCGCCCTGGCATGCCGAGCCACCTCGTGACCACATGAAGTTGGGGGCCTTCCACATGCCTGGAGAAGCCACCATGGTGGCCAGTAGCTGGATCTCAGGCTTTTATTCATGGCACATCTACCCGGTGGGGTGGGGCGGAGGGGACTTTGAAATTCAACGAGATAGAACATGTCACCCTTAAAAAAAAAATACCTACGGATTATACTGCCTGGTTTTGAAGGTTCTCCTCCGTATTACAATGGACCATGCTTATTCTCAGCTCACCCCCCGCTTCCTACCTTTTTTTTTTTTTTTTAAACCTGGCATGAGAAAGATAAAATATTTGCATAGCCAGTCTTGGGAAATTTCTGGTTGGCTGTTTTAACATTAAAAAGTTAAAAAAAAAACACCATAAATTTACTTTATGCCTTCTTGACTTCTTGTGTACATGGGTTTGGTTTCAGAATGCACGATTAAGCATTTTCAAGGTTGGCTGTCTCAACCTTCTAAGAGGGAAGGGCGGGGCGGGAGCCACAGCCGGTGTCTACATGTAATGCAATACTTCCTGTGACCTCACAGCTTTGGATGGCAAAGCGATTGCTCAGCATGACACAAGGAATCAGTCCAAAAAGCTGCCACAAACCCTCTCGATGAGAGATTTTTAAAAAACTTTTTTTCTGAGTAACAAAAGAAACCCCAGTAATATGAGGGACATGGATGTTAGTAATTACCACACATTGAAAGTATTGTTTGGCATGAAAAGTAAAACTTCCAAAAAATTTCTCCAAGATTCTATTTAATAAATAATTTTGATTTAAGGAACCACTTATGCAAAACTTGAATAAATTACTGAAAACTCCACGTGCTGTGTAATAATTAAAAACAAAAGAATTACTCACAGGAGATACTCAAATTACTATAATTCTTCAAACAAGTAAAAAAAAAAGTCCCCCCTTTTTTTGTTTTTTAATTTATTTTTCTTTTTTTTGCTGCCTTTTATGTCAGAGGGAAAAACATCCTTTCTGGAGAAGGAGAAGCTGGCTCCAATGAAGAGATGGTCTACCTCCTGCATTTTCTGAGGATACACCCACAGCAAAGCTGGGCGCTATCTCCTCTCTTTCTTAGGATTATTAGAAGCTATTCTAAGGCTCTCGCAGGTTTTAAAAGTATTCTTTTGCTAGTGAGGATTTTACCCATCTTATCCATATTTCTTGGAAACAGGATCTCTCCGTAGCGAGGCAGATTTAACTCCTCAGTGTCCTTGGCCAAGAACGGTGTTCTCCAGAGGTAATCTTGGAAGGAAGAGGCTGCATATTGCTGCTCAAAACAGGGTAGCTAAGGACACATTTTTTTTTTTTTCCTCAAGAGATGTAGGAGGCACCAAAAAAGGGACCGCTCAGGGATGGGGCTGCCCCCTCAGTGTGTTATGGAGCCACAGGTAGGGTTACCCTGCCCTGCAGAGGGGACCCCAATGGGAGCGGCGCCCCTTTACCTGGCTGAACCCAGACAGATGCAGGTGGAGGTGGAGATGGGCTTCCTTCCCAGCTTCCCTCAGCCTCTTCCCTTTGGAAAGAGGCACAGGCCAGGTTCCCAAGTAGCCTAGCGTGGGGGCTTACACAATGACCAAAGGGTCAATTCCTCGCCTCTCTCTTGGGGCACCGATGATCACTTCCTAGGGTCCTCCGGTGATAGTTCACTGTGAAAGTGTCTTCAAAGGAGAAATGTGAGCAGGCTGTCATCTTTGCTCATACATGGGCAATTCCAAATAGTGAGTTCGGAACCTTGCTTTTTGGACCGAAGGTGTCTTTGGAAAGCTCCTGTCACCTGAGCTGCCCGGCACTGGGAGCGATCACTACACCTCACCGCGCGCCCTGCGAGGTAGGTTGTCCGGTGCCCATCCTAGGACCCCTGCGGCTTTGACGACAGTGTGAATGTTGCTTGAGCGGGGGGAGGGGGGAGCGGGGGGGCGTGGGGCGTGGGAGGAGGTTTTGCTTATGAGATGGAGCTGTGTATTCCTAAAGGGCCACCGCGGCCACCAGAGCGAGTCAGCGGGCGGCACAGTGCCTCCTGTCCTCCCGGGACTCGGGAAGGGAAGCAGGTGCGTGCCCGCAGCAAGCCGCCGCCGCCGCCCCACTCCCGGGCTGCGGGTTTGCTTCTAAACCCTGGGTGGTACCGACCGCACGCGTGTGACCGCTAACGAGGAAGAGGTCAGTCGCTGGGTTGGGGGCGGGGGGCCGAGAAAAAAAAGCAAAAAAAAAAAAAAAGGTAAAACACTCCCTTCTAAAAACAAAGGGCTGCAAATTTCTTTATTTCTCTTATTGAGGAACAAAAATACTCTTGCAATGGCTATTGAGTTTCCACAGGTACGAGGCAGATGCTAGCTAGCACACCCACTTCCAACAGTATGACTTGTTTCCTATCCGTCTACTACCTGAGTGGCGTCAGTGTAGGTTCAGGCACCATTAGGAACGTTTGACCAAACACGTACACAGCACTGACAGAGGAGTCGCCGGCCTTCCGGTTGACCAGGGAATGTAAAAAAGACACCGACAGAATGGAAAAGAAATCCTTTATGGTAAAAGCTGGCGCGCGCGGCGCACTCAGGGCCGGGCCCCGCGCGCCTCGCGCCGCCGCCGCAGCTCCTCGCGGTAGCAGTACGAGCAGTAGTGCTCGGTCTCGGCGCGCCCGTAGAACGCGCAGTTCTCGCGCTGGCAGCGCCGCTGCGCCAGCCCCGGGCCGCCGCGGCCGCACTCACCGTTCGAGCGGGCGGCCGGCGCGTCGGCGTCGGCGAACTCCAGGCCTTCGCGCGCGGCGCCGAAGCCGTTGGTGTAGGTCTGCGACTTGTGCTCGGCGGGGCCCGCGGCCCCCGCCGCGCCGGGTAGGGCGGCGGGGACGGCGCGCGCCAGCGACTCGACCGTGTTGACGGTGCGCAGGGCGGCGGCGCGCGCCGGGCTGTAGCTCTGCGACGACAGCGAGCGGTTCTGCTGCGGGTACGTGGCGCACGGCCGCAGCGCGCCCACGGCCGGCGCGCACGCGTCGTCCCGCGCGCCCGCGGCCTGCACGTGGATGA